TGAATCCATACGTGGCCCATATTCGACGACATTTAAATGATTTACATGATGAATGCAAGGAATGTGGGAAACGATTTATACGACATGCCGATCTGCAAATGCATATGCGCACCCATACGGGAGCAAAGCCGTTTGTTTGTGAAGTGTGCGGTGCTTCGTTTTCGCAACGGCACTCTCTAACTACACACAGTCGTCGCCATGAACAGAAATTCATACACTTCTGTGATATTTGCTCAAAGGGATTTTATGAAAAATTCCATTTGACACGACACATGATCAAGCACTCCAACGTCCGCAATTATCCATGCAAGATATGCGGCAAAGCTTTTAAGACCAAGAGACACTCGGAAACGCACGAAACTACGCATGCCGATAACCGCCTTTATCCGTGTCCGACGTGTGGAAAGATGTTCAAAAATAATATTGGAGTCATACAACATTTGAGGACGCATCGCAAACAAATTGAGATAACATCGAACCCTTTTGAAAGCTAAAGATTTGCTGAGTTGCATTGTTGGAAATACGCATTAAATATATATTTTCAGAAGAACTAATCTAATATGGTTTGTATGTAGATGTTACTACAAATAAAAAAGTCATTGTGTGTCGAACGGATTCCTATCAGTAAAGAACAATAACTCAAATATGTTGTTTTATTGTCTATTCTGCTTTTTCATTGTTAAAAGCAGTTATAATTCTGGCTTTAATTTTTTTATCTGATTTTACATAATACAACCAAAGTTAATCCAATTTGGAGAAGTTAACGAATATTATAAGAATGTTATAATTTACAACTACTACATAAATATAATGCAACTTCCAAAAACGAAATTAGGTCAAATAAAATTAGCCTCCAACCAGCAGTTTTAACACACATATGAACCCAATGAATGAGGCTAATGTTCTTCAACGAATGTGCAAAATCATGTATATAAATTTCGTATCCCTTAGAAAAAATAAGGTGCAACCTATCATGAATGAACATCGATCATACACACTTTGGGGTCTCCTAAGTGATATAATTTATTATGTAGTATGTAATTCCCAGATTCCCTATTGCTACGCACATATCAACACACTTACGTTACTAATGAAAACCCTACTACTAAATAAAATTGATTATGGATTTCACATGTTTAGAAACAGCCCAAACTCATCGCTAAAATTCATTAAATCTGTATACCACGACTGCTTCAGATCCTGTTTATATGCCTTCCGTACAACACCAATTAAAATATTTTATGATATACAGGGTGGATAAAAAACTGCAATAAGTCAAACTCCATAATTTTTAGTATCAAATTTTAGAATAAGTTTAGATTTGTTCGATTTGGCACGAATTATGGCCTTCAAACGGCTAATGAAACCGTCACACTATGCCCGAATGTTGCTCTGCGGTATTTTGGATCATTCCCGACGAAGCGCTTGCTTGAGGTGATCAACACTTTTGTATTTTTAGTGCCAACCTTTCTTTCCAAAATACTCCAGACACAATAGTCCCAAGGATTGGTATACGGAGATTTTGGTGGCCGTTGTTCGCTGGAAATGAAGCTAGGAACCTCATTTTGTAACCATTCTTGGGCGGCGCGTGCTGAGTCCTGTTGCAATGTCCAAGATCTGCGGCCAAAATGTTTGCATTCCCAAGGTTTTAATACACCCTCCAGAATATTTTCGCGATAATAGTCGGCATTTATTCTGATGACACGGTCGATTAATACGAGCGGAGAACGACCATCGGCTGTTATGGCGGCCCACACCATCACCATGACCGGCGCTTGAGTTCTGGTGGCCAACCGAAGGTGCACATTTTCATTTTGAGAAATGAGAAAAACCAAATTCGGCAGTTCACCACTTTCGGCCAAGCGAAGCAACTCTTAGCTCTTTTGAATCTATTTTTTCTGTTGCGGTGTAAGTTCGTGCTCTTTTTGGAATTTCAATGGCTTTGCCCCGAGCTCATTTTTTCTTCCGTCCAGTTCCTTGACGTCGGGCTACGCAACAAGTATCACGGTAACGAGCGATGTTACGAGACACAAAAGATTTATTCACATTTAAATGCTGGAGTGCTCTAACGATAGCCACTTGTGGATTTCCAGCCAAATATAAAAAAATCACACTATCACGCTTGAATTCCAGCACGAATAACTGAATAAATTCTCACCAAAATGTTTTTGTACGTTTGTAAACAAAACGTGAGCTGTCACTGGAATAACTTTAACAGTTGTCGGACGAGTGGCTTAGTAATGACAGCAGTCTGAAGTTGGTTGCAGTTTTATCATCTCACCCTGTATGCACAACAATATCAATAGGATTTTTTTAATAATAAAGGACAACACCCCCAACGAGATATGTGTCTCACATTTTCAACAAGTAGTTACGCAACATGCCGATTGGTCAATACTCTTTACTGGTGCTTCCAAGAATGATTTTACAACCGCATATGCAGTTGTAAATAATGCTGAAAAGATACTTGCTTCCATGGTACAATGAAGAGAAGGTAGGTCAACTTTGAAAAAATTGCAAGTATAGAGGTCTACCTGTTTGGCTTGTAATGTCAGAATTAGTATCAAAACAATAAAAAATCAAACAACTTGTTGCATTTATTTTGAATAAATAATTGAAAACCGCGAAAACTGAATGAAAGGTCAACACTTCTTTTCAAAACCAGATTCTATATATCTCTAATGGATTATTTCGCTACAAATACTCTAGATTTTGTCGATGCATACGATGAAATAAACATTTTGAAAACATCCGAATTTGAATGTTTTCTGAACAATTTTTTTGTTATTGAAAAGAAAACACATACATAAACAAATAAAGATGACATATTAAGCCAAGAAAATAAAAAAATTGAAATCATATGGTATCATTGCCCTACCTCAGCTATGGGCAGCCTTGGACGAAAAAGTATAAACAAACCAACACGAACTCGCAATGAGAATAAGAATCAGTCGTCGATGAGACACCGACGAATGAAGACGTGTGTGGCTGTACGCATTGCTACCGTTGATGCACTTAGCGAAACAATAATTTCATTTGCATTATTTTATTTCAGCTTAACTACATGCCAGAATGCTACAATCATATTTTATGGTTAAAAATGCTTTTGATAATATTCAATGCATTTTATGTGGCAAAATAAAAAATATGACGTTTTGAGACGTCATTTTAACATTTTTTTTAATTTAAATATTAATATTTTTATTAAGTATTCCCTGCTTCAAAAGCCTTAAATCTCCATTTTTTATTTAACTACTTTTGTATCGATTATTTTTAAATTAATCAGTGAGTTGTTTTTTTTACATTTAATTTAATTTTTTTATTTATGTTTTAAGTTGAAATAAAATTAAATTTATATATTTTTATTTATACAAAACATAACATTTCCCCCTATAATATGCTAATACACTGTAATAATAATAATATCATTATGCATTAGTTGGCGCCAACAACTCATGAAATTTCTTTGAGTGGACGTTCACTCTCTCGCACCAATACACATTCATTTTTTGTTTTGAGCATCCCTGCCCTACCTTGATATCATTGTACCATGCTTGCTTCCATGGTACAATGATATCAAGGTAGGGCTATGATACCATATGATTTCAATTTTTTTATTTTCTTGGCTTAATATGTCATCTTTATTTGTTTATGTATGTGTTTTCTTTTCAATAACAAAAAAATTGTTCAGAAAACATTCAAATTCGGATGTTTTCAAAATGTTTATTTCATCGTATGCATCGACAAAATCTAGAGTTTTTGTAGCGAAATAATCCTTTAGAGATATATAGAACCTGGTTTTGAAAAGAAGTGTTGACCTTTCATTCAGTTTTCGCGGTTTTCAATTATTTATTCAAAATAAATGCAACAAGTTGTTTGATTTTGTTATTGTTTTGATACTATTTCTGACATTACAAGCCAAACAGGTAGACCTCTATACTTGCAATTTTTTCAAAGTTGACCTACCTTCTCTTCATTGTACCATGCTTGCTTCTAAAATTACAAATAACTACTATTCCATTTTTACCGTCGTAGTAGCAGGAGTTCTACTATAGCACAACAATATAAGGAAAAAACTGCGATTTTTACTGTCGGCTTATCTGGTATAAAATCAATACTGAATATATCAAATACTAAATGGGCTTGCATAGACTTACTTACTTACATTCAACAAGAATTAAATAAAACTTACTTGGTGGAACCCTGGACATATTGGTATATCTGGTAATGAACATGCCGACTCTGTTGCAAAGATTGCATAAAATTCTCCCATTTTTCTTTCAAACATTACAGAAAATATTGATCTCAACATAAACATTTTAGTCCACCTTCATGAACATCGCGTAGCCAACGTGAAAAGTTTTAAGCATCATAACCATATCGATGTTAACCCACAAAACCAAGCAGCAGAATAAAGGAATATAAAGATTTTTTCTTAAATCCATTACTCAATACTTTAATATTTATATATTAAAATCAATTTAATAAAAATCGCAATTCTCCATCACAACGACGTAACTTAAATACATACAGAACGTAAGAGTTATAAATTTTGAGAATGTATTGAACAACTAGAAATAGATTTGCAATTGCAATGACTTTTAAACAGAGACATCGACTATCTTAATTCTAACACGTCTTGACTTAAGAAGACTTAAAGAATGCCTTCGAGGCTGAAAAGCGTATGCGTCGCAGTAGAAAAATCAATGTCCTCCTTAAAATTAATTTTTGAGTCAACAATTTTTTTATTTTTTTAACCGAAAATCACTCATTTCCTTGTTTTACAAATAAATGTGTGTAGATATATGTAATGTGTGTAATAAGCAGTAGCTCTTGCAATTTTTTTTATAATTTTAATATACGTCACTCTTTGAAGATAAATGTATTAAGACTAGGTACATTTTCCCTATTATTTGTGGTTACTACACTTCCGTCTCATGACTTTATTTTCACTTGATACAGATTCTAGCTTGAATTGAATTTTTATCCGATTGTTACAGGATCCTCTAGCCCACACTCACAAAGAGGAAATTAAGAAAGCCCGTGCATTTGTTAGTAAATTCCTAGAATGTGACGATAATTGGAAAGCCTTTATGAGAGCATATGAAAAAGTACCACAACTATGGGACCCGAAACTATTTCCAAAAAAATTAAACAACGATGAACGTAATGCATATCTGCAGAAAATTGCAAACGAAATAAAAAGTGAACGAAACATAGAGCTTGATACAAACCTTGTTGGTCTTACAACAGTTCGTGTGCGACAACATTTCAGAATCAGAATAAACCGCTTTAAAACGGCCGAGGATCGTCACGATGCAATTGAGAACAAAATTGTGCCTAAATGGTATTTTGAGGCATACGCATTCTTAGAACTGACCCTGGAACAGCTATCTATCGTCAATTTTGATTCACAACGAAAGCATTTACGAAAAGAACAAATTTTGCAAATTATTCAAATATATCAAAGATTTCCAAATCTATGGAACACAAACTTGGCCGAAAATGTTTGTTTCAATAAACGACAGGAAGCACTTGGGGAAATGTCCCAAGTAATACGCCGTGAAATGGGCTTGACAATCAAAGAGACATCCTTAAGAAAATATTTGCAAAGTTTGCATGTCCATTTTGCCAAAGAGAAGAGCTTGCTGCTTGATAACCAAGACAAGAAGCCGGAAAGCGAGTTGTTATACTACGATCACATGAAATACCTGAATGATCACGTTGGTCCTCTTATGTGTGAGTTTTGTGGGCGGAAGCATAAAAGTCCGCTGTTTTTAAAGGTACATATCTATGAGTCGCACCACCGCGATGACCCATTAAGATGTCCAATATGCAGCAAGGAATATGAACACGTTCAGCCCTACGTGGCCCATGCTCGAAGACACATGGATGATTTGCAGGACGAATGTAAGGAATGTGGTAAGCGCTTCATAAGACTTGCCGATCTCCGAACACATATGCGTACCCATACCGGTGTTAGACCATTCTTTTGTGATGTATGCGGAGCATCGTTTACCAAACGTTATTCTCTGACTGAGCATAGCCGTCGCCACGAAAAAGTCTACAAATTTTTTTGTGACATTTGTTCAAAGGGATTCTATGAAAGAGCCAAAATGAACAGGCACAAGATTTGTCATTCGGATATACGCAAATATTGCTGCAGCATATGCGGCAAAGCTTTTAAGACGCGAAGACACACAAAAATACACGAATCCACTCATGCAGATTCGCGTGAGTTCCCATGTCCCCTGTGTGGAAAATTATTTAAAAATAAAATTGGAGTTACGCATCATCTGAGAACTCATCGTAAGAATATGGAGACCGTATTGAGTCCGTTTACAATGTAGGCGTTTTTGTTTGAAAAAAATGTCGAATAGTTTTTTAAATGTCTGTACAGAATTTTGTATAATAATGAGTATTTAGTAAAAAAATTAAATGTTAAAACTGTATTTCTTGTAAATAAATCACTGCATTAAAAAAAAAAACGTTTCGATAGCATGTAATGTTTTTTCGATTTTTAATTTTATTGAATGAAAGCAAAAAATGTCGGAAATAGCATTAAATTTTAGAACAAGTTTAGATTTGTTCGAATTGGTCACCTTTGGCACGAATTATGGCATTCAAATGGCCAATGAAACCGTCACACGCTGCCCGAATGATGCTCTGCGTTATCTTCGCTCATTCCCGGCGAAGCGCTTGCTTGAGGTGATCAACACCTTGGTATTTTTTAGTGCCAACCTTGCATTCCAAATATCCTCCAGACGGATTGGTATCCGGAGATTTTGGGCGTCATTGTGCACTGGAAATTAAGCGAGGAACCTCATTTTGTAACCATTCTTGGGTGGCGCGTGCTGAGTGCGATGGTGCTGAATCCTGTTGGAATGTCCAAGGTCTGCAGCCAAAATGTTTGCGTGACGAAGGCTTTAATACACCCTCCAGAATATTTTCGCGATAATATTCGGCATTTATTCTGATGCCACGGTCGATACATACGAGCGGAGAGCGACCATCGGCTGTTATGACCGGCGCTTGAGTTCTGGTAGCCAACCGAAGGTGCACATTTTCAGCTGACCTCTGGCAAGTAAACACGATCATTTTGTTTGTTTGCAAACTGCTAGATAACGAATATTTTGGCAGTTCACCACTTTCGGCCAAGCGAAGCAACTCTTTAGCTCTTTTGAGTCTATTTTCTTTCTGTTTGCGGTGTAAGTTCTTGCACATTTTGGAATTTCAGTTGCTTTACCCCGAGCTCATTTTTCAACATTTGCCGAATGGAATATTGCGATATGTTAAGCTCACGAGCCATTTTTCGAACCATTTCTGCTGATGTTGCTGTTTTCTTCCGTCCACTTCCTTTGCGTCAGGCTATGCTACCAGTATCACGGTAACGAGCGATGGTACGAGACACAAAAGATTTATTCTCATATAAATGCTGGAGTGCTCTAGTCAAATATAAATAAATCACACCATTACGCTTGAATTTCATCACAAATATTGAAACTTTATGACCATACATCTTTGACCAAAAATTCTGATCGTTGTTTTCCAGAGAGAGTGAGAAAGTATGGGACAACAGAGTAGAATTTCATAACTTCTTGATAAAACATATTTTTAATGAGTTATGTTTCTTATTTTCGATATGTTAGACTGTACCCAAATACCGTCGCATCAACCCATTTTTTACAGAAGAATTTTTTTTCTTTCGAAATGTAACAACAATATTTTGGCTCGCCATGTCCTGTACAATCTGCAAACGTCCAACAAAAAAATGCCGTTCTGGGCCCGTTGGCTAAACCAAACTAAAATATGCAAAAATTTGAGATTTAGGATCATATGCAGTCGTGGACAGGGGCGATATGCTAACATGTAACTGTCCTTTCTTGTCATGTCAATGTTTTGTCTTTTTATACCATCCACCAAAGTATGGAGGGCATATTAAGTTTGTCATTCCGTTTGTAACACCTCGAAATATACATTTTAGACCCCACAAAGTATATATATTCTTGATCAGCATAAAATTCTATGTCGATGTCCGTCCGTCCGTCAATCCGTCTTTCCGCCTGTGGAAATCACTGTAGCTTCCGAACGAAATGAAGTAGGTTGAAAATTTTACTCAAATGTATATTATGTCTGCAGGAATTTTGGGACAAGACAAAGTCAAAATATTGTCACCAGGTGTAAATACTGTTGTTACGATATCATAACAAATTATTCTCCAATGTTAAACGGATTTAACAGCAAATGCAATTTTTTAATTAATTGAAAAAGTCAATGGAATGCAATTGTTAGTCCAGATTATTGGTTTACAAAAAATGTTATTCGTAAAATTGCTCTGTAACTATGATTTTTATGCTAACATGTCACAGTTGTGAGCAGCGCCCCTATATATTTTTTCACATTAACTATTTTCCAATTATGCATTTTGTTCAGTCTTTACCATTTTAGGTCTTTGTTTGGTATTGAAAATGAGAAATGTAGGTCGACGTTTTGGTATAGCCCCCATAAAATGGTACTTCCCGATATTCGGTACTTTGATGATTTTAGCGACATTATTCACCGGAATTGTTTCAAATTTGGCATTTGAAGTTCGTAATGAATACTACAACTTAAGGCAGAAAATTGTCTTGGCAGGTCCACGTCTTCGTATAGCCTCCATATAACGGTACCTCCAGATATTCGGTAGTTTGATGAACAAGTAAAAAAGCAGTAAGTTCGGCCGGGCTGAACTTTGAATACCCTCCACCATTTGGAACGAATTTGGAAATTTAAAAAAAATAACATACGCTAAAATTCTGTTAAAATCTTAAAAATATCGAACATAGCAGTTATATTAGGGTCTATATGAAGACGAGGACCTGCATAGGAAACTCTTGTCATGGGCCATTAAAATATTCAAATACGAAACTTGAAAAAAAAAAAATCCAGTGAATAATCATCAAAATACCGATTATAAGGAGGTACTGATGTATGGGTCCTATAAGAAGGCCTGTACCTACATAGACAATTTTCTGTCACAGACTGTAGTGCCTATTACGAACTCTAAATACGTATTTTGAAACTACTCCGGTGAATAATGACGCTAAGATCATCAACATACCGAATATTCGGAGGTACCGTTATATGGAGGCTATACGAAGACGTGGACCTGCACAGGCAATTTTCTCTCTTAGGCTGTAGTATCCATTTCGAACTTCAAATACAAAATTTGAAACAATTCCGGTGAATAATGTCGCTAAAATCATCGAAATACTGAATACCGGGAGGTACCTTTATTTGGGGACGTTATACGAAGACGTGGGCCTGCATACCCAATTATTTGTCATGGGCAATAGTACCCATTACGCATTCTAGCTACGACATTTGAAACAACTCCCGTGAATAATGTCCCTAAAATCGTCAAAATATCGAATATCGGGGGCCCCGTTGTATGGGGGCTATACAATATCGTGGACATATATATAAAAAATTTTCTTCCAGAGGCTAAAATACTACGAAAAACTTCTTGTGTGGATTTTCAAACAATTTTATAAGAAAATGTGGCTAAAATCAACAAAATACCGAATAGCTTCCTACGTCTGATTTTTAGTTTAGGCAATCAAATTAATTTTAACCTGTTGCATATTCAGGGTCCCATACAATAAAACCATATTCGAATATAGGTCTAACAAGAGTCGTAAAAATATTCGAAAAAGAAATTCCTTGGCCCATCGTTGGTTGTTGTATGCGGATATTTTAAGAACACAGAAGTCTATTTGGGCTTTCGGTTGTATGTGGCCAAAGAAGGATTTAATTCATCCCACATTTATGGACACATCTATTATTTTCTCGCAACCCATACTTTGAGAAATAATGAGCTAAAGAATGGCTGTAAAACTTTTTTCTAGATTTTTAAAATTATTATTATCTCCATATTCTTGTATATTTTACCATTGGTTTAAAGGAGTTTAAAGATAATCTATTTCATATTTCATTGACTTGCAAGAAATTGCTATGCGAACGGTGTTCACCCTTAAATCTTTCCATTGAGTCCGCAACTTAGATTGTTATTTTTTTCTACACATTAAAAAATAGTTTAAATGTTAACTATTACCTACAGATATAGACTTCATCAGATAAGCATCTGGAAACAATCATGGTGTCTTCCATTCATTACTTACAGGATCCTCTAGAAAAAACTCTGCAGGGCACAAATAGTAACAACGATGTTTGCCATGCTGAAAAATCAATTGAAAAAACTTTTTCGGACTGTGGCGATGAGGTAACCAAAGTTTGCAGTTATTCTATAGTTCTTACCTTACCATTTTCAACATTTCAGTTGATGGGCGAACATAGTAAATCATTTGTCAAGGAGTTCTTAAAATGTGATCTTAACTATAAAGCAATTTTATTCGCTTATCAAAATCAACCTAGCCTTTGGAATCGAAATCTATTTCCAAACAAGTTAAACAACGATGAACGGAATTTATGTCTGAAAAACATTGCACTGGAATTGAAAACTGCACGAAACATTGAATTGGACACGAGCATGGTTGGTCACATCCTACTTCGAATACGACAGGAATATTAGGTGTGTCTGGTTACTTTCCCTGCAGGAATTGTCCAGCAACATCTTTCTGAGAGAGTAAGGTAGTTTTATTCTCTTTTGCAAGGAAATTGCGAAAAGTAAACAGACGGTATTCCTGCACAAGCTTGCAACTAATCAGCTGATTTGTCAAAACAAACCAATTTGTCCCCCTTTAAAAGAATTAAACGAAAGGAACCACCACCAATTTCACAAGTTTTATAAATAAAAAGGAAATTGGCAATAAAATAAAAGTATGAGCAATAAAAGGAAGATAGATTTGATGTGTTCCGCGGAATCCTTTAAACCAGTTGCTAATGGCATTTGTCTAAAAATGTTGGAAATAGTCTTTTATTTTCTTATAACATATTAATATTTATGTTTTTCACATTTTGTAAAGTTGTTCTCCAAAAACAATTAGTCTTGTTAATTCCAAAACAATATTTTCAAATTAAAAGCACAAAAAGAAATAAGTAAACAATAGAAAACATCTGATTGAATGTCGATGAATGAGAAGAAGAAGAGTTGCAAGAGATTGCAGGAAGAAATTTTTCCAGCAAGAATTTGCAAACTCTCACTGAAAGAACTGTCAAAATTTCTCTCTCCAACCGCTCTCTTTTGCAGAACTTTTGGGTTAACAGACGACTTCCAGTAACAATTTGTAACAATTGTTACAAACTTTAAGGTAACCAGACATACCTATTGTGTTAAGTTGCGACGTTACAAAACAATTGAGCAACGCAAGGCAGCGGAAAGAAACAAAATTGTACCTGGCTGGTATTTTAAGCAATTGGCATTTTTGCAGCCAATGATGGATCATTTTACAATAACCAAACTGGATTCACAGCGGACAAATCTGACAAAGGAGCAAATCATACAAATACTTGAGATATACAAGAACTTCCCAGTTCTATGGAATACTTCATTGGTTGAAAACGTTTGTTCCAACAAACGACAAGAGGCTCTCGAACGAATGTTGAAGCCAATTCACAAAGAAATGGGCTTAAAAATTAATGTTAGTATTTTGCAACAATATTTGGATAGTATTCATGCACATTTATCCAAAGAGAAGACCATGCTTCTCAAAAACAATAAGAATAATGAAAACATTTCCATGTACTATGATCACATGAAGTTTTTACACGATCATGTTGGGCCTTTTTGCTGTGGCATTTGTGGGCGAAGGAATAGAAGCCCACTTCATTTAAAGGTGCACATCTATCAGAAACATAATCGCAACGATCCGCTTCGATGTCCAATGTGTAACAAGATTTATCAGCAGATGGAACCCTATGTCGCACATGCCAGACGCCATATGAATGACTTACGGGTCGAATGCAAGGAATGTGGAATGTTCATAAGACATGCCGATCTGCGAGTACATATGTATACTCATACCGGAATAAAGTCATATTGTTGTGAAGTATGTGGTTCTGTATTTACCACAGCTTCAGCGTTAGTTGATCACAAACGTCGCCACGAAAAGCTGTATAAAGTATTTTGTGAAATTTGTTCGAAGGGATTTTACTACGATGAAAAGTTGAGAGAACATATGACCACACATACCAATATACGCAATTATGCATGCGGTATTTGTGGCAAGAAATTTAAAGCCAAAAAGACACTTAAGGCACACAAATCTACACATGAGGAAGGCCGTAACCATCCATGCCCACTGTGCGGAAAAATGTACAAGAATAAAATCGGCGTTTCCCAGCATTTGAGAACACATCGCTCAAATGTTGGCACAAAAACGAAATTGCAAAATAAAACAAAAGCTTAATTTTGTAATGAAAATTTATGTATATTTTTTTACATTAATTTTTTTTACTTTACTTTTTTACTTTAATTTATCAGCAAATTTGTCCTCTACTATACTCTATGGAGCATAATTAATGCTTTTAAACGGTTATTGACAAAATTGTTAGAAATAATACGTGCTAGAGTTGGTTTAAATATGTGTAACTAGTGGATTGGAGTACCAACTTCCAAGCTTTATCATCGTCCCATTTTAAACGTCCCAAGAGATAAGAATCTCGCATTTAACCCCTAACGGTTCTGTTATTATTTTAATGATAATAATACGCAAATGTTAACAAACTGTTATAAGTGAGATAACGTATAAATTAAAATTTCTGCTATTTAGGCAAATAACAAGCTTGTTCCTGGCATATGAAGTTTTTTGTTGAGTAATTCTACAAGTTTTTTTACTTACAACTAACTTACAAACTAAATAATCCTAACCCTGTGAATGCCGGAAGTTGGAGAAGAAAAATTGTCTCCCTCAATGTAGCAATCGATGATAAATAATTCGTATTTGATTGTCTGAACTGGTCGTCGGAATTCAAAAATGCCCACATCACGTTCCACACGAAATATTGATGATTTTGAATGAATGTTCTTAAAATATTAATAGAATATTCGAACACCTTGTGTACATATTCCTATCTATGAACTTACGAATCATGCTTTGTTCAAAAGTGTCAATTTTTTTTTTCATAACTGTTGAAGATGTTGTAAATTAAATTGGAACGAAGGAAGGGTATATTTCTTTTTATATAAGTGATTTGTAAATAAAGTTATATACACGGCATAACAATAAAGGTAAACTCATTTGCTAATTTTAATATAGCAACTCTTTTCTGACGAACTCGACCTTGTTATTGTACCCTCCACCTTGGAAAGGAGGGTATATTAACTTTGTCATTCCGTTTGTAACATCCCTAAATATTCGTTTTAGACCCCATAAAGTATAATCAGCATAAAATTCTAAGTCGATTTAACGATGTCCGTCTGTCCGTCTGTCTGTCTGTTGAAATCACGATACAGCCCACATTATTTGACGTAGAGCTCCAAAATTTAGCAGAGCTATTTGCATTGTGTCTAGGATGGTTGGTATTGAAAATGAGATATATCGGTCCACGTTCTGGTATAGTCCCCATATAACGGTACCTCCCGATATTCGGTATTTTGATGATTTATGCCACATTTTTTCACGGATTTGTCTGAAAATTGGTATTTGTGGGTCATAATGGGTTCCAGCTCCGGTGGCGAAAGATTGTAATTATAGGTCCACGTTTTGGTATAGCCCCCATATAACGGTACCTCCCCATAATCGACATTTTAATGGTTTTTGCCACATTTCTTCTAATGTTTCTTTTACCCTAAGGTGGAGGGTATTAAAAGTTTGGCCCGGCCGAACTTTATGTTTTTTTACTTCTTTTTTATTTATTTCATGCATTTACTTTGAGGCATCACAAATCGCTTACATTTGCCGAATGTATTCTGTAACCAAATTGATCTATATTTTGATATATTTATATTAATCTAATTAATAACAAGTAAAAAGGAAAAAATAAAATCCGTTAAAACTTCTGAAAAAATCTTAAAAGCCATTATAATATTCAAATGCGAAACTTAAACAAAAATCGGTGAATAATGTAGCTAAAATCACCAAAATACCGGTACAGGGAGGTACCGTTTTATGGGGGCTATACGAAGTACCTGCACAGATTTTCTATCATAGGCTGTAGTATCCATTACGAACTTCAAATACCAAATTTGAAATGATTCCGGTGAATAATGTCGCTAAAATCATCAAAATACCGAATATCGGGAGGTATCGTTATATGGGGCCGATACGAAGACGTGGAACAGACGGACGGAAATCGCTAAATCGACATAAACTTTTATGCTGATCAAGAATATATATACTTTGTGGGGTCTAAAATGTATATTTCGGGGTATTTCAAACGGAATGACAAACTTATACTTTATACCCTCCATACAATGGTGGAAAGTATAAAAGGCATGTACATCTTGTAGAGAAGACTTTTTATCATAATCAGCTACAGTACATGTTGATCAACGTCATTTAAAAATGTAAAAATGTATTGAGTTTTGGTTCAGTAGTGGGATTCTCTAAGTCATTTTTTGAGTCAACAACAAGAATCGGCAAATTTAAAACCCAAAATTTTGATATAAACAAGATAAAAAGCAGTAACTTCGGCCGGGCCGAGCTTTGAATACCCTCCACCATTTGAAAAAAATTGGACATTTTCAAAAAAATAAAACCCGTAAAAATACTAGAGTCTTAAAAATACCGAATATAGCCGTTATATTGGAGTCTATACGACGTGGACCTACATAGGCATTGTTGTCATAAGCCATTACCATAGACATTACCACAAATTTGAAATAAACGGTGAATAATGTAGCTAAAATCATCAAAATACCGAATATCGGGAGGTACCGTTGTATGGGGGCTATACGAAGACGTGGACCTGCACAACCAATTTTCTGTCTAAGGCTGTAGTATCCCTTTGGAACTTCAAATACCAAATTTGTGAGTGAATAATGTCGCTAAAATCATCAAAAGACCGAATATTGGGAGGTACCGTTATATGGCGGCTATATGAAAAAGTGGACCTACATGGCCCATTTACGAACTTAAGCTGCCTACTTGCAAAATAAACATGTGTGCAATATTTTAGCCTTCTATCTTGATTCGTTTAGAAGATCGCGTGATTGCAACAGACAAACGAACATCGCTTAATCGAAATAGAATTTTACGCTGATCAAGAATATATATACTTTGTTGGGTCTTACATGAGTATTTCGAGGAGTAACAAACGGAATGACAAAGTTAATATACCCTCCGTAGTATTGTGGAGGGTATAAAAAGAAATTAAAATTAACAACATTGGTATTTATCGGTAGGTATTAACGACTACTTTCATTTCGTTGGTGTCGTTCCGAAAAATTTTGTTAGTTGCCGAAGTTATATGTATTTTAATTTGACCGACTTTTGTCCGTAACTCGAAAATGAGTTAGGGAGATACAGATTGGTTCGGATAAAGCTTTAGCATCTATATAGTTTCATTTCACAAATATTTTGTATTGGGTTTATAATAGACAATATATCTAAGTTTAAAAAGTTGTAGTAAAATACCATCCTGACCTAAGACAATTTGTCTTTTGTAAACAACAGGAAAATAATAAATTGTCATAATTAGACTGTTTCAAACAAGTTTTTCGATATTGTGGTTAAAAAGAAAATGTTGATGGTTTTGTGACGATTAACGCGTTTAATCTGATGTATGTGAATTTCATTTATATTTAGCTTTTAAAATATGTTATGTGTCTGCGTTTCTTGCGTATTTTTCCTGTTCACTCAAAAGTACAGTAAATGAGTTGAGAAAGTTTAACTGAAAAAAATTGTTGTTGTAGCACAAACAGGTGTTTTTTAACAAACTATCGAGAACGTAGATACACTCATACATCCTATGTGATTCTAGAAAAAAAAAAAAACAATCAAATAGCTTTCAAAGGTTAGTATCAGCTCACACATATGGTAAATGCTCAGGATTCAAGCTGTTTACCAGTATTTGGTGAACACACGAAAAACATCAGATCTACAAACGTGTGGTGGGTATTTAATTTTGGCTAAAATTAACTAAATATTTATTTTATTAAAAGTTTATAAAAGACACATAAAAAAAAACAAAAATTATGTACACATTCCTATTGAGGCAATATTTTGGAATCTTTATTATGAACTAATTTCCAGTTCAAGTATATCATTTTTGCGGTGAATTTTTATGTGTTGAGCCAAACCAAGTTTGTTTTTGAAAGTTTTGTCACAGAACGGACAGACATGATTGCGGCCTTCCTCGTGTGTAAACTTATGCTGCAGCATAGTCTTCTTTGTCTTAAATCCTTTGCCGCATATATCACATTTAATGTCCCGTATGTCGGTGTGGGTTCGTACATGATTATTCAGCTGATCCTTCTTGTAGAAACCTTTCGAACACACAGGACAATGATGTAAATACTGTTTTTGATGTCGTCTTTTATGGGTTTTAAATGCCTGACTGTGTCGATATGAGGCTCCACAAATTTCACAGCAGTATGGTTTGGAGCCTGTGTGGCAGCGTAAATGAATTTCCAGATCGGCGGGCCTGGAGAACTTTTTGCCGCATTCTTTACATTCATAGCGCAAGTCATTCATATGTCTTCTAGCATGGGCCATGTAGGCATCTGTAGTTTTGTACTCCTTTTTGCATAGCGAACACGTTAGAGGTATTGTACCATCGTGTTCAGCCATGTGTACCTTCCAATTGAGAGGACTGAGGAATGAACGATTGCAATCTGTACACTTAAAAGGTCCAACATGATCTGTTAAAAATACCAGATGCTTGTACAAATCAAATCTCTCTTTTGTGGTGCGAAAGTTTGTTGTACTATTGCGCTTCTCCTTAGTGAAGAACGCATGAATTGTGTGTAAATAACGTTTGATGTTATTTATATTGACTTTAATGCCCATTTCGTTATCTATCATTTTCTGCATTTGTGATAGGGCTTCCGAACGTTTGTTAGTGCAGACATTTTCAATTAGTTCACAATTCCACAGAACTGGCAACCGTTTATATATTCCAAAGAGATGTATGATTTGTTCAATTTCCAGTGGCGGTTGGTTAGAATCTAAATTAAAAATGGAACAGTTCTCCATATAGGGCTGCAAGAAATCCATTTGCTCATAAAACCAAGACCGTGTATTTTTGGTTTTGCTGTTTTCGGCTCCAAACTCGTTTTCTCGCTTCAAGCGTTCTCTGTAGTCATGTCTTAGGCGTGCTATAACCGCAGCAACTTCCTTAGTCGTCATATAAACATTTATTCTGTCTTTGACTTCATCGGCAATTTTCTGTAGACATTTCGGGCGTTCTTTGGCGCGTACATCAGGAGGATTGTTGCTGTTCCACAAGTATGGTTGTTTCTTGTAGGCAGCGATTATTGTGGTCACATTCAGTTTAATACCCATAAAATTTCGTACAAACATTGATGTTTTACTGTCTTCACCATCATCGGTACACTATGAAAGAAGGGTGCTGAATTAAAAATTATCATATGATTATGTATGATATCTACTTCATCTCCAGACTCCCCCAACTCAAGCAAACACTCTTCCTCGGCCTGATTTTCATCAGATCCCTTTTCTAATTCATCTTCATCATCTGGTTCATCCTTGGAGCTATTAAGATGTTCGATCTTCTCATCAAGATACTCTTCTGCGATATCAATTACAGATATGGAGTCCTGAAAATGGACAGTACTTAGTATTTTACTATTTATACAGATGAAATGTAAGAGTATTCATACCATATCTTCTGGTTCCAATTCGGATAATATTTCATATTTGACAGTGACCTTTTCCTCCACATTAGAGCCATCGTTTACTTCGCCATCAAACATATCATCAATCAATGCTGAAACTGAGGATTTTTCATCGAGCTCCGCAATGTTTTGTTGATAGTGGCCTAAACAATGCTCTATTAACATGTCCATATCCGTATAACAGTCCTCACATTCTATACACTTAAGTATGTACTGGTCCTTGTAATCCAACGATGGTGACAACAGAATTTCTCCGCATTTTATATATTCCATATAGTCACACATATTAATTTTTCCGATCCTGCACAATATGAAACATGTAATGTTTGCTCTCCCTGAGCTTCCCACAATTGATTTGTTTTGTTTTAAAGAGTGTTGCCACACTCACAGGGTCTGACCAGATGGCAAATATGGTTTTATAACATAGCTGTGTTCCATTTTCAACATGCAAAAAAATATGTGTTCTTGTGCATTGGTGTATTTAACAAGATGTAATTGACAATCATATAGTTTTTAACTTTTTTCATTTTTGATTGCGAAGTTATTCACCTTGAAAATAAATAGCTATTTGTTTTAATGAATTCCAAAAATAAAGCAGAGGACGCTTATTATTTATAAATAGAAACTCAGGGTTTACCATGGTAGAAGAATATAGGTAGATGCGTCGACACAGCTGCTTGGACAATGAACTGTCAAACCAATTTTAGAATTGAAAATGTTGAATGAAAAATTATTTAAATTTGTAAAAATTGTTGAAAAACACGAATTATAATACCCTCCGAATGACGTAGTATATGAAAGTATATGAAAATCTACTTATATTTGAAAAAACATTTAATTTTTTTTGACATATCAATGCTCCCAAGCGTTGATGCATCTACCTGTATTCTTCTGCCATGGGGTTTACATTGCAGAACAATTAATCAATGCTACAATTCCTCTCAATGCATAGTTATCAGCTGCAAGCACAAATATTGTAGCACTTCAAGGAGTCACTGGGAAATCGTATAAAAGTAATTTCCCTCTCAAATTGAAAATGTTGCATATTCATAATAAGTTCAAAAATGGTTTATAGTCGGAATTACGATATAAAAGTATTTTTAATACATTTATTTTTGCAAGTTACGCAGAATAATTTTGACAGTTAATGGCAACAACATAGGTTTTTGTTTTGAAAACAATAGACGCTTTGTTAATGTTGACAGGTTTTAACTTTGCATTTACAGCCTGTTTTTCTGTTTGCTTTCACTCGATTCGTTCGTATTCAAAAGTATTCTTTTTAATTTCCATTTTAGTCCATTTCCGAAAAGCTTTGATATGTCAGTGTTTTCATAACCATTATTTTGAAGATTTCGATTTAATTTTATTCGGAGTTGTGCTGCAAATAAAATCAAAATTTAAAAAAAGAATAAAACAATGTCAATAAGACATTTGAAAAATATGGTCCTGCAAGATGCGCCTGCAAAATGTTATTATGTTAAAACAGTTTATATGTTAATTTTCTATTATCACTTACAATTTCAGCGTGATTCTGTAACAAAACGCCAATTGTTTTTTGCCTATCGTTTTTTTCTGTTTGTATGTCACTGACATAAAAAGCGTTGGCTTCAAAAAACCCAAATATTTTTTTCAGTCGACAAATTTGCCAACTATTGGCAAAAATATAGTTAAAAAACAGACTGTTAGTTTTTTGCAAGAAATTAAAAATTATTATACTATAACCAATTTACACGGTAGAATCAAGGAATCAAAAAATATTCATTTGACAACATCTCATTGTCAAAATTGGTATTTTTAAATCCATTGTACAAACTCAAATCAGAGATGGAAACCTGTTTTTTATGTAGTGAAATGTGACAAGGTAAATTACAGAGAATTATTTATTAGAAATGACTTTACCTTCTTAATTTTATCATACCAATTTATCTTTTATGATATCGAAAAAAAAACTAAACTAACTAAACTAACAAAACTAGTATATTCTTGCTGGTGTTCTGGAACGAAACAAATATTATACACATGGTACAATAAGGAGGTAGAACAGCTTCATAAAACTACAGAAATACAGCCCTGAGGCTATGCTTGCTTTCTGTCAGAATTGTTCACATTTATAGGCATCAAGTTATTTTTATTTATTTGGTATTTTTTGTTCATTTCTAAAATGAGTCAAATAGCGCGAAAGATAAATGAAATGCTTGGCTGTTTTCTCAGAAATATGATCCTAGGTGTTCAATCTTTCATTTCCATGGCAAATCTAGTTAATGTTATTAATGTGCGCTCCGCAGTTTAAGTTTCTTCCAATCATTGATGTTGAAATATTCTGTTTTTATTTTTCAAAACAACAAATACATACACAAAATTGTCAGAAGTCGGGGATACTTAGAAATTGTAATCAGCTGGGAGCTCTACCTTGCCTTTTTTTTGTACCATGATTATACACACGCAAGTGCTCTGTTCCAGAACTGCAAGAATATATTATTTTTCTCTTATGATATCGACAAAAATGGCAAAACTTGTCTATTCTTGCAGGTTCTGGAGCAGTGCACAGAAATTTGGTTAATACCTTTCAAAACCATGTAAACGAATAAAACCGTTCATACGGAACAGTTCATAATTATCGGTTTTTGCGGAAATTCTAACTTGAATGGAAAAAGGACAAACATTGTTGTTCACCTAGAAAAAGTTGAAAAGTAAATTTTTAATCGTTAAGCGAGTAGACAATGAACCACGTGCCATACGTACTAAGTATTAGAGTTTTGTCGCTGTTTTGAAAAGTCGTCCAAAAAAACCAAACTGGCAACGCTGTTAAGTGTAATAACTCAGTTCTTTTTCGAACCGCATAACTCTTCTATTTATTGTTCTTCTTCTAAATGTTTATTTGTTTTTGTTTTGATTTTAACCTTTATCGTTCTTACAGTTTTCTGTTTGTTTCTTATTTATACGACGACGGTATCTGGCAGCAGCAAACTTTTGGATTTTTGTAATCTGGTTGGATTGCATCCTTATCTAAGAATTACAAGCTTTATTTTCCATCCTTCAATGAGAATTTATCAATGAATAATGGAGGAATATATTGAATATATTCTTTGTGGAGAAATATTAGTAGCACCTGCGATAGATTCGAAAGATCAATACTGCCTGAAATGCAACGAATGCAGTGAATACTATTCAACATTGGACGAGTTTATTGCCCATCATCAATCGGACCACAGTGTTGATGATCTGGAAAATATTTCATCATCACCTGCTTCAGAAGTGGAATGCAATGAGGAATATTTAGAAATATATTCACCGCTATCCGTCAAGGCGGAGCATTCGAATGATGGCTGTGAAGTAGCACCTCCACTGTCTCCAACAAGCTACAGCGAAACACAAACACACGATAAAAATATGGATGATGGCAGTACAAAATCTGAAATTGATGACGAGGAAGGGTTTAAAGGATTTGAAAGCGAAGGTATGGCCGGAGATGATGAGACGGTAAGTCAAACGATATATTAGAAAATTATTCATAATATAAAAAATTGGCATTTCAGGACCCTTTAGATCAACCACAGTGTGAGCGAACAGAAGATCCTATTAATGATGAAGACAACGATAACGCATGTTTTGAATCAGAAGCTGAGGTAATTATTTACTAGATAACTACAATATGGACAATATAGTCTTAAACGACTTGAAATTACTTAGAATCTTTGAGAATATTGGTCATAAGTTTTATTCTGAAATGAACTTCTTTCAATTTCTAACATTATTTGATGTTTTAAGCCTTAAATTTTTATGTAACAATTGTTGTTATAGCAGGACTACTAAAAATGGTAATATTCATTGTCTCTCAGGATAGTTTCCAACTTCCGTGGTTACGATACCGTAGTATTTTTTAAAGAATCTATTTCTATATCTCTGTCTTCAAAATGGTTTCGAAGTTTTTGTGATCAAAATGGCTAAAAATTATAACAGTTATAATCTATCAGATCTATTATTCTTGTTAAACTTTAAGGATAGTGAACCTTTTATTACTTCTCTCTTTTTTTGATTACAGTGGGAACCAGAGGACAACAAAACTAAGGTGTTCGTGAGTCAATTCTTGAAATGTGAAAAAAATTTCCTAACATTTATAGAGGCCTACAAAAAGCAACCTCGTCTATGGAATTGGAAGCAATATCCGTCAAAGCTTAACTCTAGTAAAGAGCGTGAAAAATATTGGTCGCAAATTGCCGCAGAAATCCGAAATAATTTAAACATTGAGATTACCTGCAAGTACGTATCAGCAGTAATAAGACGAATTCGAAATGGTTATGCCATTAAGTTGAATCGCCTCAAGTCATATGAGCAGCGTGGTGGAACACTTAAAAGCAGGAATATTCCTCAGTGGTACTTTAACAAGATGCAATTTCTAGAACCATTTCTGAACAATTATTCCATTGTAGAAATTGGAGTACAACGGCAACCATTGGAGACAGAAGAAATTATACAAATTCTAGAGATTTATAAAAGATTTCCACACTTGTGGAACACAAATCTCGTAGAAAATGTCTGCACAAATAAACGCGACGAAGCTCTAAGTCAAATGATCGAGGCCTTACAGTCAGAATTATCATTGCAGGTGGATGATGTAGCCCTCAAGAAGTATTTGTACTGCATCCATGGCCACTTTACCACCGAGAAGGCCAAAATGCTGCACAAGAAAACATCGCCCAAAGACATATCGATATATTACGAGCATATGTTGTTTTTAGATGAGCATGTTGGCCCCTTCTATTGTTCGGAGTGTGGCAAAAAACATAAGAATCCTCTGCAGTTAAAAGTACATGAATCTCTGTCACATGGTCTGGAACCTTTAAAGTGTCCTCTCTGTGTCAAAACCTATACCAATGTTCAGGCTTATACATTTCATGCCCGACGACATATGAACGATACCAGTGAAGTGTGTAGAGTTTGTGGGAAAACATTTATAAAAGTTGTAGATCTTACAGCCCACATGCGTGGACACAATGGCATTAAGCCATATTTCTGTGAAATATGTGGCTCTTCGTTTACTATGCCATCGTCATTGACCGAACACAAGAAGCGACACAGTGCCCAAAATAAAGAACATTGTTCAATTTGTTCCAAGGCGTTCTTTAGCAAACGAAGATTAAATATGCATCTGTTAACACATTCAAATTCGAGAAGTTTCGTTTGCAACATCTGTGGAAAGGCCTTTAAAACTAAAAAAACAATGCGAGCCCACGAAACAATACATGAAGATAGCCGCAATCATCCATGTACACTTTGCGGTAAAATGTTTAAAAATAGAATTGGTGTTACGCAGCATTTGAGAACGCACCGAAATAATGCCGATACAGCATCAAATCCTTTTATTGGTAGTTGAATGGAGAATAAGAACAATATATGTTATTTATGTCTTTTTAAATCAAATAAGATATAAGTACATATGAAGTCCTGGTTTTTGTATGACGAATGTGAAAGACAAACTCCATTCCAAATTGGGCTTAAGTGAAAAAAAAAAACAAATACATAAAACTTATGGTGTTGGTGGTGATGGTGTTTTTCTGCAGTTTTACTTTCGTATCGTCATACAAAAACCAGTCCCCATTAGTTTATAACTAAACCTTTTTTGTACTACAATTATAATAAACTTTAAATGTTAATAAATAATAATAGTCGAACGATAGGGTTATTTGACAATCATATGGTTTTAAACTTGTCAAATCCAATCAAATGTTGCTCTTGTTAATTTAAATTTAAATTTTTTGTGATATATTAATATTTTGCTTTTGAGTTGTTGGGAGCTGTTGTTGTTGTTGTAGCAGCTCATACATCTGTGTTCGTTCGGTTTCCATTTTCTGACTCAGTTCAATCGGGTTCTGCCTCTAAGTCCAGTCTCAAAAAGGATGCAACCTGTATGGGTTGTGTCCATAACGAGACTGGAGTTAGGTGAGTAGGCTTGGCTGGGCAGCGAAATAAGTGCAGCGTGTCATGTGGGCCTGTGCCACATGCTGGGCAGATGTTCTGCACGTCACCGTTGATCCGGGCCCAATAGGAATTTAGGCGGCTGCACCATCCGGATCGTAATTGAGCCAAGACTACTCGGGTTTGTCGGGGTAGCTCTCGTTCTTCAGCTGCGACGGGAGGGGGATGGTTTCCTAGCACAGTATTCACTCTATATCCTTCAATGGCCTCTGAGACCGCGTTAGAGTGAATACTATTCAGTCCCGCTTGATAGGCCTGGTGAACTAGAGGCTCTCTCTTATACCTCTGTACCTCTCTCTCTAGATCATGAAGGTCTTTCCTAACGTGCCTGGGCGGAGGTTGCCTATCCACAAGATGGTGATTTGGATGGCTTTGTCTATAACACCCAAGCAGGTATTGCATTGACAGCATTTTGTTATGCTGTCGCACCGGTAAGACCTTCGCCTCCTCATGTAATCGACAGGTGTCATGAGAAGGCACCCTGTTGCGGTTCTAAGGGCGGCATTCTGGCAGGACTGAACATTTTTCCACTGCGTAGCACTGACGTTAGCGGACCACACCGGAGCCGCAAAGTTTACCACAGACCGGCCTATCGCGTTGTAAGAGGTCAACAAGGTTTCCTTAGCTGCTCCCCAAGTACTGCTCCCCAAGTACTCACCCCACCTTGGGGAACTCCCTGTTTGACTCTACGGATGCTCCACTTCTTGTTTCTGAATTCCACGTACGACTGGCGTCCACACATGTAGTTTACTATCCAACGTTTCAAACTTGGCCGGAGGGTGGTGCGTTCAATGTCCTCGAACAGTGTGGCATGATTGACTGTATCAAAGGCTTTTGATAAATCAAGTGCCACCATAACTGTTCTATCGCACGGCCTGTTCTGGTTGAGACCTCTACTGACATGTGTGGAAATGGCGTGTAAAGCTGTTGTTGTGCTATGCAATTTCCGGAATCCGTGTTGATGATCGGCTACTGGGAAACACTCTCTTATGCTGGGGAGGAGTAAAGCCTCAAGCGTCTTTGCTACTGGTGACAAAAGTGATATCGGCCTGTATGCATCACTTTTGCTGGCATTCTTGGGGATACGATGGATATGTCCGGAGAACTGTGGCAGTCTCCCCTTATTCTGGTGGGCGCGTCCTCATTCACTGTGCAAAACGTGGAGCTATCGATTTGCTCAGCCATCGCCATGCCTCTCTGGTCATTACCTAGGACGGAATGCCATAATTCATGATGGGCATTGAAATCCCCTAGCACCAGACGGTTATTGTCTACCAGTAGTGAACTGATATTAGGCATATAACGTGGGGCACAGCTATTTAACGGCGGAATGTACACGTTGAGCACCTCTACCTCGGCGGTTCCACACTTGACCGCTACCCCCATACATTCCATGTACGGGTCACTAGAGTCAAGCTCAGGCGAGATAGGTCTGTACTGGACAGAGTGGTGCAATAGGAACGCTAATCCTCCACCTCCACCTCCACCTCTAGAGCGATCCTTCCTCAGTACGTTGTATCCATCACAACTTTGAAGCGTGCAGGTGGTACTCAGCGTCGTCTCCTGGATCGCTGCGACCTTGATATTCTTCCGACTCATAAAGCTTACAATTTCGTTGATCTTACCTCTGAGACCATCACAATTAAATTGGAGAAATGATGCATTATCCGGAACCTGAACAGCAATGTGTGGCGTCAACTGCTGCGTAGATTGCTGTTGAGGAGATTGCGGGGGAGTCTCATATTGCGACGACGATGAGGACGCCGAAGATGAAGACTCACTGGGGTCTACATTGACGCAGCAGGAAGCAATGTAGTCCCTATCGCTATACTCCTGTATCCGGTTTAGGCCGGAACAATTCCGGAAATGCACCCACTCCATGCATCCGTTGCATCTCACCGAAACCGATCTGTGGTGGATGCGATTACGACAAACGGAGCAGAACCATGGTCCGGGGTTGGTCTCGATCCCGGCTCGGACCAAGAGAATACGGAGCAAACATTCCGGGTAATGTTGCTCCCACATCAGAAAAATGGACGAACACGAACATGTATTTGCTGGGTTGGCGGCCCCTGGTCGGAGAAATGTGCCTCCGAGTCAATCCGGTACATAGAACCGGCCGCCGTGGGAGCTGTTGTAGTGTTTGCAAATGATCCTGGAGGACAGGAATTTAGGTGAAGCAATCAAGTTCAGATAAATAAAATGTTTTTGTATTGGCTACTCTATATTGAGAACAAAAGATTCAACAGAGAAAAGACATAAAATCAAAAGCGTTGACCAAACTTAAAAATTTGAAAAAGGAGATATCCGGAATAGGAACCATCCCACTAATAGTTGACGTCCTCAGCACTGTTGAAGAAAGATTGGTTGAGCTAGATGGTTTTGCAAGTTTTTAAATCGAAGAGGTTAGTAAACGATAATAACACAATTAATTCAATAGATTGGATGGTAGAGGTCTACATGCCTTATGAAGATCCGGACCCTCCACACAAGGATATCATGAACCTAAAAGGCAATGAGAAGTGCATGCGATATCATCCTAGAATCTAACGCAATCGCCCATCGCTTTTACTGGGGGAGCATTGATAAGAATGTTAGAGGTGATTCAGTATTCATTTTAATTCTCAACAATAATCTTAGAATATGAAATAAGGGTATTTCGACATTTCAGAAAAGTGTAAAGGGAAAGTGATTGACAGCATCCTCTTCAATATGGCTACTCTACTATTACCAATTGGAAGGTACCGGCTCCTTCTCAGACCTAAAGATCATCTTCTACGTCGCTAGATGCGGTGTCAGACAGAAATCTGATAGGAACTTAAGGAGGACAGACTGGGAAACAATTTTAGGTCATCCATGTAGAGAGAGCAGTGAATGTTGTCATATGTGTCCTTCGTAAAAGCCATGCGAAATGTTGTTTAATCACCTACCCTGGGAGGAAAGTGAGATAAATTTTGGAAAAGCTATTGTGAGTGTGTGGTATAGGGAGTTGATAATACACCTAGATTTCGTAAAATACTGTCTAAGGATCCCAGGGAGATGATGGTACATGAACTAACTCTGGTCTCAGGTTTCCCGATGTAGGTGATAGTAAGTAATCATTGCACAGCAAAAGATAAGAGACTTTCAGAAAGGATAATAAGGTACCTCAATTTTTTATTGTCGATCAACACCTTTCACCCCTTCAAGTATCCTGATCCTAATGCGATTATATGAGTATTGTTGCTAAATGCATCTGAGTAAGTGTTGACTATCTTACAGAAGACTTTAAAGGCTTGTTGTGCTTTCCAAAGTCGGGGAACCTAGTCACACATTACCTAAAGACTGCAGACCGACTAGCCTCCCTCCCTGTGTGGTGAAGACCATAAAAAGGTTACTGGACCTGGAGATTCGTTTAAATATAAATGCACATATATTTTTTGGCTAGGCAGAACACCCTGCTAACTATACATCTCTCTACAAATCCTTTTTTTTAAGTTTGTCATTCCGTTTGTAGCACCTCGAAATATACATTTTTGACCCCACAAAGTATATATATTCTTGATCAGCATAAAATTCTATGTCGATTTAACAATGTCCGTCCATCTATCCGTCTGTGGAGATCACTCTAGCTTCCGAACGAAATGAAGCAGATTGAAAAATTTTTCTTCAAATGTATATCATGTCGCAGGACTTTTGGTATTGTAGGTCCACGTCTTCTTAAAGCCCCCATATAACGGTTCGTCCCGATATTCGGCATTTTGTTGATTTTAGCGACATTATTAACCGGAATTGTTTCAAATTTGGTATTTGAAGTTCGTAATGAATACTACAGCCTAAGACAAAAATTTTGTGCGCACGTCCACGTATTTCTATAGCCCCCATATGACGGTACCTCCCAATATTCGGTATTTTGATGATTTTAGCGACTTTATTCACCGGAATTGTCTCAAATTTGGTATTTGAAGTTCCTAATGGATACTGCAGCATAAGGCAGAAAATTCTCTGTGCACGTCCACATTTTTGTATAGCCCCCATATAATAGTACCTCCCTATATTGATGATTTTAGCTACATTAGTCACCAATTCTTTTTAAGTTCCGCATTTGAATATTGTAATGGCTTGTAGTAAAAGTTGCCTATGCAGGTCCACATCGTCGTTTAGACCCTAATGTGACGGCTACATTTGATATTTTTTAGATTTTAAAAGAATTTAACGGTTTAACGGTTTTTTTTTTTGAAAATTGCCAATTCGTTCGTCGGCCCGGCCGAACTTACAGCTTTTTTACTTGTTTTTCTTTCTTCTTCTTCTATATCTTGCCTATCTCAACAACGTTCCTCTTCCAAAATGAACACAATGGATCGAAGGTTGCCGAGCGTGTAGCGGCGCATCCTTAAACCAAAACAAACTCTGGACTTGACGAGACATATAACATATAAACATTAAAGAATAGCATTTACCAAATACTCTAGACAGAAAATGAGTCCGAAAGAATTAATTCAACAGAGTTTCCAATATCACCGAAAGAAAAAGGATAACACATGCAAGAACGTATTTTCGAGAAGGTAACAATTATGAACGATATCCACTTGAATTTGGTAATGTTTGAGTTGCAGCTAAAGCTTGAAAAATGTATTTCTAAATGATGTAAATCGG